CCCAAAAACTGATGGTATTACCAATTCCCACAACAAAAGTCAATCTATCCCAAAATTCACTCCACCCTCACCGAATATATCGCCACAAACTCACCACATAAGAACCCCGTCTCTCACCTAAGCACCAACCCCCTTCCATAACGCCGTATTTTGGCCCAATAATATCTCTCCAAATGCGCCACCTCTCCACTCCAAACCGTCATAACCACTTACCCAACAATGTCTTGTTGAACAGTACGAGACTTCTTATTCCAAGACCACCGAATCTAATAGGGGGAACAAACAACCCGCCAATTAACCAAATGTAATCTCCTCTCCTCCCCTAAACCTCCCCAAAGAAGCTCCTTTTGGAGCCTCTCAAATCTTTTAGCCACAATAGCAGGAATAGGAAATAATAACATAAAATCAGTAGGGAGGTTCGACAAAGTGGACTTAATGAGCGTAAGACGACCCCCCCTAGAGAGGTACATACGCTTCCAGTGTGCTAGCCTTCTCTCCACCCTTTCCACGATGCTATTCCAAATCTGAATGCTTTTAAACCGTGCTCCTAAAGGAAGCCCGAGATATGTCATAGGCAAATGCGCCACCCTGCAACCCAAAATATCAGCCAACTCCTCCACGTTATCAACCTCTCCAATTGTGATTGCCTTAGATTTTCCCAAATTAATTTTCAATCCAGAAATAGCTTCAAAGCACAGAAGTAAGCGACGCAAGTTCCTGAATTGCTCAACATCCACATCACAGAAAATCAGCGTATCATCTGCAAATAGCAAATGAGAAACTTGCATCTGCTCAACAACAAAACCATTTAATAAACTTTGCCCCACAGCCTTCTCAAGCATCCTACTGAAGACTTTCATAACAATGACAAACAGAAATGGAGACAGAGGATCCCCTTGCCTCAATCCTCTACTACAAAAAAAACCTTCCAGATTGTCATTCACCATGACAGAGAAAGAGACCATAGATATGCAAAACTGAATCGACCGGCACCACTTCTCCCCAAAGCCACATCGCCCAAGCATATACAAAACAAAATCCCAGTTAACGTGATCATAAACCTTCTGAATGTCTAGCTTACATAACATTCCTGGAACCTTTAGTCGCAATCTGGAATCAATGCATTCATTTGCTGTAAGTACGGAATCCAAAATCTGGAGCCCTTTAACGAAGGCATTCTTAAATTTAGATACCACTTTACCCAACACCTCTTTTAATCTATTTGCCAAGATCTTCGCAA